GACGATATTCACCGAACCTGAGGCGAATAATTGTTTTAGTATAATTTCAGAGCTGAACAACAGAGAAATTTCTAAAATCATAACAATTTAGTAACATTTATTAACTTTTTATTTTAACATTTTATATAAACCGCGTGGAGCGGTTTATATAGCGTCATGTAGCGTCATATAGCGTCGTAAGGAATAGCGTCATAGCGTCATAAGGAACCGCTCGACCAATCAGATTGATGGAAACTCTTTGCTCAGCTCTGAAATTATACTAATTCACATTATTAACTCAGCCCGTGACATGGACTGAATTATGTTGTTTTTATTGTAAATGCCTTACACGGATTAAATATATTGCACTGATATTTCCAACACCAAATTGTCACGCTTTAAAAGAGGGCTGTTCTAGATAAGGCTAATCTGTCCATAATGCTACAAAATAAGTTTGTAAAAATACTACATGTTTAAAAAAGTATGCATGAAGAAAATAGAGTGACAATAACACGTGAATAAACACTGAATATCATCTGCTATGTGTTCCCTTGATGATCAAGAAACCTCTTAGAATTAATGGAATCTCCTGTAGTGTACTATATGATGATGTGGATTGCAGCAAGAGGAACAAAGCAAGAGGAACAAAGCAGTGGACAAAAAAAGTATAGGCAAGCAAGGGTTGTCATTATAATTATGACAATATTAACTGTACTATTTATCAACAGCTACCACAAAGCTGGTATTTAGGTACATCGCATGTCAGGGGTCGATTTTTCACATCCTACTTTCCTATTTAGTGGAGTAACGTGGACGAACAAGATCACCCCACTAAAACAGAGTCATCGCAGGTTAATTTGTTTGAGGCTAAGAGTGAGGAACCATTGACAATATGAACAGCGAGAGGCTGGGGCCTTCAAGCTTAGGTTATCTGATGTTTGGTTTGTGCCCAGTCCATTTTTGGCACGAGCTAGGATCAAGGCATTCAAATGGATTATGTCGATCGACGATGAAAGTGACGTTATTAATATCAAGCAGTTTTACGGAGAGAAAGTGCAAATTAGGATTTCGCGCTCGATTAGAAGTAAGTGTACAACGTTTACATGTAAAAGTATTTCACGTTCTCAGTCTATAATACTGCTCGGGGTTGCCCGCTTTGATCCCGCACAAGAAAAAAAGTGCGTGGAGGGGACTAACAAAGTTGATAAATTTTGGAAAGTTTCGGCGACAAAGTCGCAAAAAGCGCAGAAAACAGCTAAAACAGAAAAAAAAAAACACTCTTTTGAGTTTATTGCGCTACAAACACAGTTGGCTTTCTTTCCCAGAAAAGAGAACTGAATGTGTATCGTGACAAGTCCGCAAAGAGGATGTGAAAAAGACGAATGTTTTGCATAGAGCTTATGAATAAAATATACACACATCCTCTGCCAGTGTTGTTATGTATACAGGTGACCACGTATGAATGAGAATAGATAATGACTGCACGCTCTCCATTTCTGAATCATTTCAAGCAGCAGTGGGAGTAAATTCTTCGAAAGCTCGCGATAGTAATGGAGGAGCTTTGAACATTCTTCTTTTATTACTTTTGTGCAACGCTGTGTGTCTGCCCAACCTGTCGCGTTTTTTTTTGCACGATCACATACTTCAAGCTACTTTAAAATTGTAAAGACATAAAACCGGTTATGACACTTTAGTAAAATTCGAAGAAAATAGTTTTCAAACTTCATAAACATGCCGCTGAAGATGTTAGAAATAATAACCACTGCGGTTCAAATTATTTTCTCTGTTAATTATTCAAAATGACTTGTTTCAATTCACTTAAGACTCTTTTGCATAGTTTCTATCCACATTTAATTCTTTCCAGCTTTCTTCAATAGTTTGACTATCTGATCTTTTAAAAAACCCCTCTATGGATTTCTGTTAAACTATTTTATTGGATATTGTATTTGTTATGTGTTACCAAGATGGAACACATACATTACACGCATTACAAAGAAAGTCGCCAAAACAGCGTTAAAGGGACCGTAAACGACAAAGAAGCTACGGAGAAAAGGAAAAGAGAATTCATACGATATATTCCTCGCTTTTATTTTCCTTTTTAATTTTTTCTTGATTTTTTCTATAGTTTTTCCTCTTTTACAGTTGACTGTTGATATCGCACGCGTTACAAAGCAAGTCACCAAAACAGCGATAAAACGATCGTTGGCAACAAAGCGGCTACGGAAATAGGTAAGGAGACTTGCATGTTTTATTACTCGCGTTTATTATCCTTCTGAATTTTTTCTTCTTTTTTCTTTTTAATTTGTCCTTTTTTTAACGGCTCACGCCTACGCTTGATATTCGATCTTAATACACAGTACGCTTGGGCCGCCTGTGCTAACATATAAACGCCGAACACCTGCCCAACATTTGGTATCGTTCAAATTTTCAAGAAAACATATTTTTGAGTTTACCATTTTTAATTCATAGCGATGCAGTTCAAGTTTTTCCTTCAAGCGACCACCAATAGTCTCTTTATTTTTCTTGGAAGTATTCTCCTACCATGTGTTTGTTGCAGTGGTGAGTACAAATCCTCTTTTAAACTTCTTGTGTCTCATCTTTCTGGCGCCGTTTCCTCGAAACCATTAAAGACGAACTACATACGTTGCCTGTTGATCAAAGCAAGTAACCTTTAAGCAGACACTCCCGTTAACTAACTCAAAATGTTTCCTATTGTGGAATCTAAGAAACAAATTATGATGAAAACTGAACAAGCTGTAAATAGTCGTCTGTACAAACTAGTTGACAATGTGCTTATTTATCGTGTTTGCAAAAAAGCTTCCCAGCATGCGCATAAAAGGCTCAAATTGATGAAAAAACAATCAATTAACAGGTGTCGCGGTTTGATAATTATCGCTATGAACTGAAATATTCCCGACATTTTCCTCAATATTTCCTTTCCGCTGATTTACTCACCCGCAAAGATAATTTTGTGCTAATGAAAACCTCTCAGTTAGAATTGAATTTTTAAAAGATGAACATCCCCTCCAGGGAAAACTCGGTAAGGTCCTCATGCAGTTTTAAAATGAAGTTGTTTAGTAGGCCTTCTTTCATCAGTGAAAATAAGAAATTAAGAGGGAGTGGAAACTAAAGAATGTATTCGTTTTGTCTACCATAGGAGACGATTGTCGAAACATTATATTCAAGGACCCAATACCAAACATGGTCATGACAAATCACGTGATCAAAAGTACAGAGGTGCCCAATGAAGGTAGCTGCTGAGTGATGTGTTATATGGAGCCTAAGTGTGTCTCTATCAATATTGGACCGGTAGCGGGAGCAAGCCAAAAATGCGAGTTGAACAACCCTACCGAGGAAAACCATACTCCATTTCGTCTTGTCAATAAACCAGATTATACATTTCTTGCAATCAAGGTAACATTTTACATTTTTACGTAACTAGGGGGAGTCAGACCCAGAGGAGTTTGTTTTACTTTCTGGGGCTAAATTGATCTTATTCTTCATACAAGGAAAAGTTGAACGAAGTTTATTTGTTTTTGTCAACAGAATCCTTGCAGTAGTAGACCATGTTTAAACAATGGAACCTGTCAAGCTGGATTCACCAATAAAGGTTTTCGTTGCATCTGTCGGGAAAGATTCACGGGGGAAACCTGCCAAGTTAAAGGTGAAATGCCTGGATTTTGCTACGCGAGGAGTTGCTCGCTAAAGGTCCAAACTTGACTTCAAGAACAAAATATTAACCATTGAAGTTAGACTAAAAAAGAAAGGCCTATATTTATAACTTTAAACGAACATAGCTAATTATTTTTTTGGATAAAGAAATGGTATTGGTTAATGTTCAGAATTAAATTCAAGTATTGACCAGTGGAAAAAAAATTGAAGGCAAAGAAAAGGCAGTCAACATGTAAACAATTAAAGTTAGTGTTTTGTTGGTTTTATTCTTTTCTTTTTTTTTTAATGATTTTCAGTCAAAAGAAACTGTGCCGAGATCTATATATCTGGCGAAAAGACTGATGGTATGTACACCGTTAAACCGGACAATTTTCCTGCTTTTAATGTGTACTGTGACCAAACAATAGCTGGTGGAGGATGGACAGTGTTCCAGAAGAGACTGGACGGCTCGGTTGATTTCTACCGCGACTGGACCGATTACAAATGTGGTTTTGGTGACCTGAATGGTGAATTTTGGCTCGGACTGGACAAGATTCACCGCCTGACCTCACATGACAACAACATACTACGTGTAGACTTGGAAGACTTTGAAGGGAATACTGTCTATGCCGAATATAGAACGTTTCGTGTCAAGAGTGAAAAGGACAAGTTCAGGCTGATTCGCGGTTCTTATTCAGGTAAAACGGTATTTTTTTCCTTTTCATTATGACGGGGGAAGAGAGTGTGAATCAAAGTAAAGAAGGTCAAATTCTTTTACAGCAATGGCTTTCTAGGATGGAAAAAAATAATAAGCTAAGCTCAACGAAATAGAATCCTAGACAGCACATACCAGACTTTGATGAAACCTGAAAGTGTTCGCAGATGGTAGGTTGGAAAATAAAGAATGGTGGAATTCGGAACCGGAACCAGAATACTCGAAATACCCGGAATTCCGGAATGACCGAAAAATAATAAATTTTTAAAAAAATAAAAGTAAATTAATAAATGAATAAGAATATTGACGATAAAAAATTAATGGTGAATTCACAACTTAAATAATTTAATACAAAATTTTTGAGAGATCATCAGTTACTCGACACCGTTTCGCGTTTATTATATATACCTTGAATATATACCTT